ATTAAGCAGCCAAACCTATCGCCGGAAGGCCTGGTTTACAGTTACAAGGTGTTTTGTGGGTTTTAGCATTGCAGATCACAGCAGGCATATGCAAATCAACCCACAGCAGCAAAGATGCCTCTACAGCGATGGAACTGTTGGGCAGCACCGACTGGTGTCAGTAAACACCAGAGGAAGTAGCTCAAGTCCAGAAAAAACAACTCTGTCTGGAGAAGCAGCTTATCAAAAATTTGACTCTCCACCACACCCCATGCCATGGGATACTCACAGACTGACATTCCCAGAAATAACTCTCTGCTGAAGCTCTTGCTCCCAGAGTGCTCTGTGACAGACCAGTGCGTCCCTCCCCAGCTTTTGAGTTTTTAATTCCACTTCTAAACCAAGGCACCTCCTACCTCCTGTGGCTGGTCAAAGACACTCTGAAAATCGCCGAAAGGAGATCCCGAAAACTCCCCAAAGATCTTCCGGAAAAGCTCCTCGGGATCAATGGAGGGGCCGCCGCTCCAGTACTGCCGCCCCGTGCCGGCGCCGGCCCCGGCAGCGCCGGCCTCGAAGCTGGCTGTGCCATAGGCATCGTACTGCTTCCGCTTCACCTCGTCACTCAGCACCTGGGGGCACAGAACGGTGCCATCTGGGCATGGTGTGGATCCCCAGTGCCCTGGAGAATCCCTGGCTCTGGCACTGCCCCCACGAGCCCAGGCTTATCAGACTCTCCTGCCATCGGGAGGGCTCGCTGAGCTCTCAGCACCACAAGCTGCTTCTTCCTCTCTTGGCTCAAAATCAGGAAAATGACAATCTTACTGATTTATAATAAGCAAGAATAACTTGCTTATTACGTAATCAGTCATTAATATATCAGGTGAAAGCTGGTAACAGTGCTGGGGTTAAAAAAAAACAGGGCTGGGGAAGCACAATGAAGGTTCCTCTGTCTCAAACACCTACTGACAGGTTTTTTATTTGATTATTTATTTTAAGCTGACAATGATCCCATGGAAGTGACTGCTGCATCCATGCCAGTGACTTACTCCTAAAGAAGAGCACAAACTGAAAGAGCCCAAAGCACCTAAATCAGATACTTGGGCCAAGTAATTTCCTGGAGACACCGTTGGGACAGAGGTGCTCCAGCCTGAACTGCATCAAAAAACAGCCACGGTTTTACAGGAAATGTTTCCCCTCATCTACCCTCCAACCTTTCCTCTTCATCACGATGAAATTCTGCTGTTACCTCATAGGCTTCTGCCAGCTGAGAGAACTTCTCCTTCGCTTTGGGGTCATCCTTGTTTGTGTCAGGGTGGTATTTCTTTGCCAACTAAACAACAAAAACAAACCATTAGAGACAAGCAAGGAGTTATTTACTTCAATGTATCTCACATGCCAGGAAAAACGCATTGGGCAGAGCTCAGCATACACTATCTCTATTTCAGGGAACTAAATCCCTTCATTTTCATTATCAACCCAATATAAGGAACCACAGGAGCTGCTCCTGATCCTCCCAGCAAGCCAAGATCTTTCTGGAAGGAGACATGAGGTGACACCACAGGCAGACTACACTTTGGAAGAGATCCCCAATGCCATGTGCTGAGCTGCCCCACTGCTCCCTCCCCTTGTCTCCAGCGGGGATCTCAAGGGAGGATTTGCTCTCTGCCACACCGGACAGGCAGCGAGGCAGTTCTGTCCCCGTCCCCGCGCAGCCCCGGCCGGACGCACCTGGTAATAGGCCTTCTTGATCTCCTTCTGGGTGGCGGTGCGGGGCACCCCCAGCACCTGGTAATAGTCCTCCTTGGTGCGGGCCCC